CGTTTCTTCCTGACCTCTTAGCTCTATTTATGGAATAAACCTTCCAAATTATATTTGTGTTGAATTGAATGCTCATAATTCATAACATAAGTTGATAAAGTGCGTAGATCTCAAATAACTGCTCGATTTTTACGCCCGGAATGTTCTGAAGCAATGCTCGTCGCTCCTCGTTTCTTTACATCGTGAATAATGTTCACGTCTCGACGGCACATGCGCAGTTGCGACGTGTAAGAAAGAATCGGGTTTTCTGGGGGGGAATTCTACCCAAATCCCTTTAAAAGAAAACCCAAACTGCGGAAAAGCAATGCTTCAAAATTTACAGTAACCGCCAAAATCCCTCAATATTTTGGTGAACTTTGTAAAAGGGGTATAGTGCATTAATAAATAAAGCAAGTTAAACGGATTTAAAAACTTTAAATTACTGATCATATACAAAAAGTTACTATACGCATAAATCAACCTACCCCCCCTAAAGTTTACACTATGACTGACTGTCTGACTGACTGACTGTCTGACTGACTTACTGACTCGTTTGAATTTTCGCCACTCATTACAATACTGCAAAGTTTCTCAAACTTTGCACTAAAAACTAGCAGTCTTTCAAATTCAAATTTGAAGCAACTAGAGCTGCTGTAATTTGACAGAAGTTGTTTAAATATTTCAAAAGGTGTAGGAAGCATATCAAATAAGTCAACCGTCAATTGATGTAAAACAAAAATCTTGCCTCCCCCCAAAAATGCATTCTAATCGTGCGAGAATTAATAAAAATAGAAATTTACATGGCGGTGTAGTGTCTCTATGATATTTTATTAATCAGTCCTTCCATTGTTCACAACACACGAAATGGTTGTACTGAGTAATTGTCATGCATTATCTTGTTATTAAATAAAGCGTATATTAAATACTGCAAGGTTTTGATATTGGGGAAGTTTTGAGTAACTTGTACTTTAGAGGAACATGTATACGGTGAAACAAAAGAGAAACATTGGGTGTCAAGCTGGCTCGGCGGAGTCTGCTAGGGTCAAAAAGGAAACACAAACTGTGGCACCGACATTAGAAAGTTACGATCGCGAAGCTAGAGGGGCGAAGCGAAATTTTACGACATACAATATCTTTAAAGATCAGATCCTGTGCAACAAAGAATATATGCTCAACTGGTTGAAACAAGAGAAATTAATACTTGAGAAACGCAGCTGCGACGAATGTGGGAATATGATGAGGTGGGTAAAATGTGTTGATCGGAAGGATGGCTACAAATGGATGTGTCGTAAAAAAATTGGAAAAAATAATCATTACAAAGAAGCAAGTATAAGAAGGAATAGTTGGTTCGAAAAATCAAATATGAGTATGGAAGAAGTTCTTAAATTCACCTACTGGTAGTCAGTTAAGTTACAACAAGACCAAATTATGCAGCAGTTGTCGTTAGCTACCCACACCGCTGTTGATTGGGACTCATTTTGCCGCAAAGTTTGCGAAGTAACCATCATGCGCGAGAGTTGTAAAATAAGGGGTGAGGGAAAAGTTGTCCAGATTGACGAAAGTTTGTTTGGAAAAATGAAGTACCACAGGGGCCACGTCGTGAAAGGGCAATGGGTATTTGGTGGTATAGAGCAAGACTCTAGGAAGTGTTTTATGGTTGCAGTGGAGTGTCGATCAGAGGCCGTTCTTCTGCCTTTTATTCAACAGTGGGTTGAGCCTGGCACGCTGATTATCTCAGATTGTTGGAAGTCGTACAATAATCTGGAAATCATGGATACAAACACGCCACTGTCAATCATTCTGTTGAGTTCGTAAACAAAGACGGACAGCACACCAATAAAGTCGAGGGACTTTGGAGATTGGCGAAGGCCAATTTACCAACAATCGGAGTCAGACAAGGGCAACATTCCAGTCATCTAGCCGAATTTATTTGGCGTCACATTCATAAAGGCGATGATTTGTTCATTTCTTTTTTAAACGATGTAAAAAAAAATTACGATGTTGGTCATTAAAAAGCTAAATTTTCCACCTTTCTATTACAATGTTGAGAATAAAGTGCATGATTGAGGATATATTTATATTGGGTTAAAGTAGGGTAAGGGTTACAATTAAGGTTTGGCGTAGATGGGTTCGGGTAGACGGGTTGTCACGTGGACGGGTTGACGCGTAGACGGGTTGACGCGTACACAGGTGACACGTAGACGGGTTGACACGTAGACGGGTTGACGTGTAGACGGGTGAGGCGTAAATGGGTGACGCGCAGATGGGTGACGCGCTGATGGGTGGCACGTAGACAACTTGACGCGTGGACGGGTTGATGAGTGGACGCGTAGACAGGTACGCGTGGAAGGATTGGTGTGGTATTCTGCAATTGCTCGAAATGAACAAAGGCAGTATGACAATGAAGGAGTTGGTGACCAATTGACAGTCAAACGAGCAGTAAATGGACAGGCATCATTGGCAAATGGATTTACACCTGAGGGGAGATTGGGAGGGCTTCATTTTGAAATAGCAGATTGGCATGCTGGAAACATTGTATATTGTCTATTTTTAGAGGTAATATTGTACACTTTGTGTGCATATATAATATACTGTACATGTATTGCACTAATCTAAATGCTTTAACTATTATTCCCCAACGGCATGTTTCCATACTATATATAGACACTTCATGAATTTGTTTGATAGCAATAAAAACAACTAAATTTATCAATTAATGGATTACCCTTTGCACCTTGATTTTGATACATTGTCTTGTGTTCACTTGAGCAAATCCAGGAAGTGTTTATTAGTTACCATTTAATAAGGGGGATTGCAAATAGAACTAATTGAGTTTAATTTACTTTTGTTAGATTGCATTCAGTAACTTATTCAAAGGAGCATCTGCATCTGACAAATGTACCATGTATAGTGACAGAAACCTCGTAAACAGGCGTAATGTGAAGAGTGATGTTTCTTCTGCAGCCAACGCTTGTAGAAGGTTTTTCGAAATTGAAATTGTAGCTAGACTTGTTGCTGCTGGTCTAAAGGTTTTGGAAATGGATGATGTGGATGAAAAATCTAGTGAAGTCAATGCATATGATGGTCCTAAAGATGGGAAACTGGAAAAGAAAAAGGACTTGTCAAAGATTGCCTCTGAAGTTGTTGATAGGTTTGTTTCACTGTAAAATATTGACTGAAATATGTCAGGGCCAGATGATCATGAACTTGTATGACATACTTTAACAGTGGAGATTTAGCGGTGGCATGCAACTTTCTTTTTGTGGGTAGCTGCTGTGCATGCGTGGCTAACCACTATGTTGTTGAAAAAGTGTCTGTGGGTATACGTATATCTGTTAATCTTCGGGGATCATCACATAAACGAAAGGTGACGAACATACTGTTCGTGCTTCCGGAAAATTTTGTCTGTTTTCTTGTGAACAGATGGTTTAGTTAAGCCAGAATTTCATTCGAAGGGCTGCTTTGAGTTTTGGCAAATTTCTATATAAAAGTTAAGGTAAAGTCAATGTTGCATTATTTGTGTCAATATTTGTCATTTCAATCATTCATTTGTCCACTGTGGTACGAGTGTACAAATCTTTAATACTACTGCATGGCTTGTTTACAAGTTTCATTGACAATATCTTATCACTGTGGTAATCAGTCCACATTGATCATCATTCATCATTGATATAAGACGTGTATTGCTGAGCAGTAGTTACCAGGAAGGTATGTCCTGGGAGCTGGATTTTCCTTCACATCATTTGAAAGTAATAATGGCACAACATAAACATTGTGATAGTATATAATTTGAACATACCATAAGCACAATTCACTGTTCTTTTGACTCTTAATCAATTGGTTCTTGAGATATGGCAAGCAAAAACCTTGCCATTGTGCAGGTATTTAAATTGAACCTTGCCATTGGCAGGTATAAATAAAACAACAGCCATTTCTGCTGATATACTCAAACAAAATATTAAGTTTTTTTCAGTGGTTCACAAACATTCTTGTGGGTTTACGGCGGGAACAGAGATTCGACCAGTAATTATGGCATGATCTGAGGAAAGTTGCAATGCTTACATAGGATATAGCAGAATCTGAGTTACGGTAATCACAAGATGGTGGTCAAGATCAAGGTTACCATGGTTGCGAGTAGGGGTCTCCACACGCTGTATCAAATTATTAGAATCCAACAGATCAAGAAACAAGATGGCATCACAGTTTGTTGAAACATAATTGAGATGGAAATTGAAATCACCAACCACTAGTAAACAACCAGGAAGGTCAGCCAGGTTCTCAATGAGAATTGGGAACTCATTGAAGAAAATACCTGCAGACAAACGATTTTTCTTAGATGGAGGTGGTCGATACACCGCAATGATGCACAGACAAGTGGATCCACAGCTTGTATACTCAAACAATCAGATAAGACAATTTATAGGTTTTTGTTTCACAGATTGAGGGCCGGGATTTACAGATATATCCATAAATATTGTTATATCAAGAGCAGGGCCAAGTCCAGGAATCAGCAAGCAAGTACAGCCATGCTTAGTCTATTTCATTAGAGCCCTTGTTTGGCAACAAGAACCATAAGTTGACTTTGAATTCACAGTTCAGGCCACATTGCGTATTAAAATGTTATACTTCATACCTACATCTAGAGAACAATTCTATATAGGCACTGTAATTGATAGCATTGCTTTCCAGAATGACTGTACAATGAACAGCCAGTTATTATGTTTACCAAAACTCGAGACGTTTTAAAATGAACTCACATTTATTTAACAAGTTCTGGCCTTTTATACAAAACACTATACGATATTTGCATAACATAAAACAATTAACATACACCTAATAACATAAAATTAACATAAACATAACATTTCCTCCGCCACAAAACTGAGAGTTCAATGTTAATAGTCAGTACTCTTAGTAATTATATCTATATAACTATAATAAATCTACTTATTCTATTTCTATTTTTTTTTGTTAATTTTTCTCTACCGATAAATAGAGGCATTTCAAAGTCTATTAAGAGATTATACTTCTTCTATTAAACGTTTTGGTTTAGTGCGAATACGAATTGGATACCTGCGAGTACTTGAAAGTTTTTCCCCACCGTTTAAAATACCAGTAATAGGTTCTTCTGTATTCGTTGATGTTGGTAGTGGAACTGGAGATAGTGAGTCGGTTTTCGGGATTAAGGTGGTAGTGGGACTTGGCTCAATGGGTTGTCCTGGGTTACCATTACTTGCCACACTGACTTCCGGCGTTGAAGATAAAGCAGTTGGTGGTGACATAACATCAGCTGCAGTTGATCCGGCGAGACTTTGTAATTGATCCACATGTCGTTTCCAAAACAGATCACCAACCTGAACTCTATAAGTAATTGGACTTAACTTCATTTGAACCACTCCCTTTATCCATGGATCCTTTCGTGGTCGATAGTCTTTCACCATTACTGGATCTCCAATTTCCAAGTTACGCAGTGGAGTTTGTGGTAAATCTTTAGATTTTCGCTCCATCTTAGCAGACAAACTAGGATGCAAAATGTCCAGTCGGGTTCGGAGTCTTCGACCCATCAGGATTTCAGCTGGCGTGCAACCCGTAGCAGTGTGTGGAGTCGTGCGATATCCCAAAAGAAAACGTGCCAATTTCTCCCCAGCAGATCCCTCTTCCTTCTTACGAATCTTCATGGCATCTTTAAACGTTCTGACTGCTCTTTCTGCCTCACCATTTGAAGCTGGATGATACGGCGATGATAAACGTTGTCGAATTCCATTCAACTTTAAGAACTCTTTCATTTCCTCCGCCACAAATTGAGGACCATTATCTGACACGATCTCTTCGGGTAGACCATGAACTGAAAACAGGAAACGTAACGCTTGAACCGTGGCAGCAGCGGTAGTTGATGACATTGATAGGACTTCAATCCATTTAGACTTGGCATCTACCACCACTAAATACATCACACCATCCATTGGACCCGCAAAGTCTATATGAATTCTTTGCCATGGACGCACAGGCCAAATCCAAGGATTACTCACCTTCAAGGGGGACTTACAACGGTTAGCTTGACAACTGGTGCAATCTCTGACAGTCTGTTCAATGTCTTGATCCAATGTTGACCACCACACATGTAAACGTGCCAAAGATTTCATTCGCACCATTCCTGGATGATTCATATGTAACTCCATCAACACTTGCTCTTGATATCTAGTTGGAATCACCACTCTGGTTCCTCTAAGAAGACAGCCTTCTTCTACAGTAAATTCGTCTTGCTTGGTGAAGTAAAATCGAAGTTCCTCATGCAAACTACCTTCCTCTGGCCAACCATGCAACAAGAAATAAACCACGCGTGACAAAACAGGATCTTTTTGCGTAGCTTCTCGGATCATACAAACCGAAATCGGTGCCCGTTCCAGTTGAACTCGATTTACTTCTTCAGCTTCTGAAGTCCACCCATCTGGCTCTTCCACAACTTTCCTCGGCAACCGGGACAACGCATCAGCATTAGCATTATTCTTGGAAGTTCGATATTCGATATCATATTGATACGCCCCAAGTTGAATCGCCCATCTCTGCAGACGTGATACTGCTAACACAGGAACACCACATTTAGGTCCCAGAATCAATGTGAGAGGCTTGTGATCAGTTATTAACGAAAAACGCCGTCCATATAGGTACTGGTGAAACTTCTTCAATCCAAAAATTATTGCCAAGGCCTCTTTTTCGATCATAGAATAATTTTGTTCACTAGCGGAGAGTGTTCGAGATGCATAAGCTATTGGTTGTTCTTCTCCATCATCAGATACATGCGATAGTACAGCTCCTATTCCACAGGACGATGCATCAGCAGCTAGTCTCACGGATTTCTTGGGGTCATAATGTGTTAACAATGGTGACTTCTCCAAAGCTGACTTTAAAGTTGCAAATGCCTTCTGACAGTCGTCGGACCAGTTCCAAGGAACATCTTGGGATAGCAACCGATTAAGAGGATTTACCAAAGTTGCCATATCCGGAATGAACTTGCGATAATAGTTCACTAATCCTAAGAATGACTTTAAATCTGTTGGATTTTCTGGAATTGGAACTTCCCGAATGGCTTGAACTTTACGAGGCGAAGGATGGATTCCTTGTCGATCCACCACAAATGCAAAATACTCCACTGAGGGTTGCAGGAACACACACTTTGATTTCTTCAGCTGAATTCCCATACTCTGAAGACGATTAAGAGTGCTGTTGAGATTTCGCAAATGTTCCTCATCATTCTTGCCCGTAATGATCAAATCATCAAGAATACCTCCAACTCCTTGTAGACCATTCAACACCACGTTCATAGTCTTTTGGAAAATGGCTGGGCTTGAGGCTACTCCAAAAGGCAATCTCGTGTACCGATATAGCCCCAAATGAGTGTTAATCGTAACATATGGCTTTGACTCGTCGTGCAAAAGAACTTGTTGATACGCGGATGATAGATCAATCTTCGAGAATTTCTCGCCCCCGTTTAGTTTTGTAAATAATTCCTCAGCAGTAGGCATTGGATATTCTTGCACATCAAGACAGGGATTAATGGTGACTTTATAATCCCCACATATCCGTACACTTCCATCTGGTTTCAATACTGGCACAATTGGAGTTGCCCACTCAGAGAACTCGACCTTTTCCAACACCCCGAGTTCCTCCAACCGGTTTAGTTCCTCGCCGATTTTGTCTTTCAGAGCAAATGGAACAGGTCTGGGTTTGAAAAATTTGGGCGTCGCGTTTGGCTTCATCTTTAAATGTGCCTTCACTCCTTTGACCGTACCCAACGAATCATCAAATAACGAGGAATACTGACTAGTTAGTTGCTCCACATTGTTGACCCGCTTAACTGAAACTTTCTTTATTTGACTCCAATTCAGCTTTAACACCGACAACCAGTTGCGACCTAATAGAACAGGGCCTTCATTATTAGTCACTATAACAGGTAGATGAGCCTTTTGGTTCCCATACACCACGCCCACATCAATTTCACCCAACACCGGAATTTCGTGTCCGGAATAACTTCGCAATTTAACGTTGGACTTTCGTACTGGTTTTGTTGACGACAATTTCCTCCAGACGCTTTCTGGCATAATTGACACCGCAGCTCCCGTATCCACTTCCATCGTTACTGGTTTTCCTTCAATCGATACAAGTACTTTCAGCTCTGTATGTTTTCTCCCCGAATCAGTCAACATAAACACCGGCCATGTTGTATCCATAACCTCTTCTTGGCTTTCCCGGTCACTTTCAACGTCGCTCTCTGTCTTTACGTTATGGATTCCGCTCGATTTCTTTTTTTTCCATATGTCCCATGAACGACAGATTAAAACCAACATTTGGCTGGGCAGCTTGCCCTTCTTCGTCCATCGTAATCCACAAAATCCTCGTCGCCAATTATTATGTTTACCAAAACTCGAGACGTTTTAAAATGAGCTCACATTTATTTAACAAGTTCTGGCCTTTTATACAAAACACTATACGATATTTGCATAACATAAAACAATTAACATACACCTAATAACATAAAATTAACATAAACATAACAATTGATGACAAAGATACCAAATAATGCAGAGTTAAAAACATAATAAACAGGACAAACTAAAACGTGGCAGCCATATTAGCGCACTATGTATTATTATTGGAATGCACTATATATTATGATTCGTTTGCTGATACCTCAAGATGGAATGGTGACAGTGTAGACTGTAGACATTTCTTCCTGTAATTATTCTACTTTCCAAGTGCAAAAATTACACTTGTCCATTTTCTGGGCCAAGCCATTTTTTAACGATGAGTTTACTGAAAAGTTGTATCCACAGATTCATTGCTTTTCTTATTGACTATAAGCCACCAATGTTAAGACATATAATTCCCATATTTTGTTTCGAGGATTAGTGTTTAGAAGTGCATTGTGTTCGCTCTTTTATTTAAAACCAGAAAACAAGAAAATAATTATTGGAGTTAACCAAAATAATCCTAAGTTATTGAATATGCTAAAAGGGAAGGAGAGGAGGAGGGATAGGTGTGAAGAAAAAAAAGAAAAAACCTTTTTGATAACATTTTGATGATAATATTTTCAGACATACATACCAATGAATATGTTCTTTTGGACAAATAATATACAATAACTTAAGGTACACACACAGAAGAAATAAAGGTTGATGGGATTTGTAACAGAATCCCATGTCTAATTTCAAACTGTATAGTTTGTCATTTCATGATGCATTGCTATTGGTAGTATGTGCTAAACAATCTAGGTGGTTTGTTTCTTCAAGCTGGTATTATAAATTAGGTGGTAATCTCAAGCTTGTTTATTGCTCATACGTCGTGGGTTCAATGACCAGTTGATCTCGCGCTAAGCTCGCAAAGCATGATTTCCAACGCAAATAGAAATCCATACCAGAAATCTGTGCGCACGTTTATTTGTTAAATTTTTCTGGCTGCCAATGGAGCAAAGAGCGATGTTTTGTTCATATTTTGGTTGATCTTTTGTGATTTTTGCTGCGAATTGACAAAAGAAATGAAATACAAGACATGAATGATTTTTGGTGCATCTGAAAGACAAATAAACCAGATACGAACTGAAATCATGTTGATTTAATGCATATTTATTGTTGTCGGACTTGTATTCGGACTTGAACAGGCTAGTGATAACTAAATATTGCTTAAAAATTAGACTTTCTGAGATGCCGATTTCTGTATTATTAAGGTATTTCAATAAATATTTCTGTTTTATAATTATTTTCTTGGTTTGTGTTGTTTTCAATCCGATTTTAAGGGTAAAAACAAGTTGTACTTTACGTGCAACGTGGGCAAGTGACAAATCGAACATACTGAGTTTTGGCGGGCTTTACAAACCTCTGTCTGTTTCTTGTATCGATAAATATTTCAAAATGACTTCCTCTTCAAGTAATTTTCGCTGTGAATACTCTGAATGCAAGAACGACTACGGTTCCTACAATAATTTATTGCGCCATTATCGAGCCAACCAACAACACAAGCCGGAGAATTTAGTAAATAAGAAAAAACTGAGTGCCATTGAGCTTGTTAAAGATGTACTTTTGCTAAGTAATATTAGTGAAGTAACCCGTTCTGCAAGAGGAAAACCTTTTATTAGTTGTCTAAGTGTGGAAGAAGTGAAAGAGCATTTTCCGCAGCCTGTTGTTCACCATGTAAGTCCTTTGGAGTTTTTGTTGTCAAAGGCGACTTCAAATGGCCATGTAAACACGATGAAACTTCTGCGAGATTTTAATGGTTTGAAACAGTTGTTGTTTGATAACTATCCTGAAATGAAACCATTTGTTGAAGAAAGTGTTGCTGTAAAGTCTGTTGGAATGCCTACTTTAAATGATATGGTAAACTTTGTGCTAGAAAACAAGACATTATGTGCAGTGCTATACTTGAAGCTGAGAATGGAAAGATATTCAGGGAAGGATTAATGCCACTTGTTTTTGAAAAGAACAAAGACAAATTTCTTGAATTTGTGTCGGGAATTGTAGGTTCATTTTCTATTGGGCAAAAACAACTCCAAGATGTTCTGCAAAATACCTGGGGAAAGTATCTCTCAGCAGTGCTTGGTGTCAATGTCATTCCGCCTAAAGCCCTTATAGTAGAACACCTGAAGAAAAAAAAGCAAGAACTGACAGAGCTGATAGGTCTGAATTTTGAAGTTCATGATGATATAGTTGTGGCAAAGGTTAATGTTGCTAAGTATTTGGAGTACCTGCTCTCTTGCCCAGCTATCAGGATATCTGAAATTGCACCCAAGAACAAAGTGCTTGTATACCAGTTTACAGATTTAGCTCCATGGTTAAAGTGGTCGAGGTATTTCACTGGTATCACCACCTCACGTCTGAAAGTTGTTGAATGCCACAACCTTAACCGACTAGTCATTACTGTAGGTGTATACCTTGGTCCAGATGATTATGACACGATCAAGAAATGTTTTGGAGGTTCGTATGAAGAGTATGCTCAATTGAAAGAGATTCATGTTCCCAAGTGTGAAAGTCCCATCCAAGTGTATTATAGAAGTTGTGCAGATGGCAAACAGCGTCGGATTGACACAGGCAGTAGTTCTTCAAGATCGACATTCCCAATTCCAGAGGCTCCTGAACACAACCACCTTGTTGGGTAACATGTTGGGTATCTCCACTGGCCCAGTCTGGACAGTTCAAGACACAAAGGAAGCAGAGTAGAATTGGATGAAAGACAAAACCCCACTTCCAAGATCGGAATTTGCACGAAACAACTTAGGGGCAACCAAGGGAGAGTAAATCTTACTAACTGTGATATGTAACATTATTTTCCAGGAGCAATGCATCTTGCCATTAGATCTGTGGAAACTTTGTCAGTACAAATTGGCATGTTTGCAATTGGTAAGTTAGGACTAACAGAAAAGTTTCTGCCCATCCCAATGCCACAGACATTTTCAACAAGTATTAGGGAAAAAATGCTCTGAATATTATTTGCATGTGCTTAAGATACTTGCCCAGTGTCTTGATTTAGTTAAAATAATCAAGTTAAAATAATTTAATTTCATAGATAACTTGAGTTTACTCAACAATATTCAGACAATGTTTTTATCCTATGGGCTTGTTGTAATTCAAATGAGCATGGTTGTAATTCAAATCTGATTGCAAAAATCCAATACCAAATTTTCCTTGAAACTTACAACATTAACTAGTTTCTCATGCAGCTTATTAGCTGTTAAAGACAAAGGTTAGGGTCAAGGTTAAAGTGGGAGTAGGATTACAGTATACCCCACACTAACCTTTGGCCCTAAACCCATGTCCCTAACTGGTGAATTGCCTAAATGATTGCCTGCATGTATCGATAGGCGTAAGCAGATCACAAGAAAAGTGGATAGAATTCTTAAAGCACATAGCGTGATTTGTCAAAGTGGAAAATGGGCATCTCAGAGTGAAATTTGATGAGATTGGTGTACTTTCATTTGGTTTCAAAATACCTGGTGTTCTAGCTACAGCTGGTTTTCAAAGTTTCAGTCTTGATGTCCTTGTGACATTTTGGTCCGGCTTAACAGATGTGTTTCAAAACCTACTGCGGCCACAACCAACTTTAACTGGAAAAGAATATGAAATTTTAGCTAGAGTTCTCCTTGGCTTCCAAGCAGTGGTTATCTTTGGTGTTAAAGCAATTACACCATCAATTAAACAAGCTGTTGTATACACACCTTACTATATTAACAAAGCTTTGGCAGATGGCAGAGAAATTGGGCTTTCAATCACCTTGGAACATTATTCTGATGCAACCATGGAGACAGCATACAAGCAACCAAAAGAAGGAAATTTTCTTTTTAGTGGTGGAAGGGATGGCCCCACAGATGTTGTTGAATACCAAACGTGTGTCCTAACACAGGTTTTCCAAAATGAAATTTATCACATTTGGGATAAAAACAATCAAATGAAATCAAAGCGACACAAACCAACTGATTTAGATTAATCAACAACACAAGATGTTAAAAGAAGAAAAATTCAGGTAAAAAAATATAGTAATTTGAGGTGACAAAGAATTTATTAATTATAGTAACTTACTAACAGCCTACCAATGCATCACTCAATTCCACTGGGCAGAAAATATTTTGCTACTGGTCAAAATATTTGTCTGGACTGATAACTTTTGACTGCTATGTAATTAGTCAATATCAGATTAGAATGATGCATAGCAGACAAGGGCAACAGAAGCTTGCAACCAGATCTTTCTGCAGCAAAAATCAACTTTTTAGCAGTCAATGATTTTTCCACAACAGTTGCAACAGTTTGCAGTTGTTTACATGTCAGCTTGTACAATTTAGTAGGAACTTTTGAACTTCACAACAAAGTTCAGAATAGGGTGTCATAGGACAATGTGCCATGCCATGCGGTAGGGGCCTGGGCCGAAAGTAAATAGTATAAAAGATGGCGTCTTGTATATTATTTTGTATTCAGTATTAGAAACTTAGATGGAGATCATTTAATAAAGTATAGCAATATCACAACATAGGGTATACAATATTTAGGGGAAATGTACATGAAACAACTATAATATAAGGCCTAGTAGCACATTTATTTGCAAATTTTCTCACTCACTAAGTTGGTAACTAAAGTCTTTTTTTATATTCACA